TTTAATAAATTATAGTATAAACAAATATTATATTATTTATTTATAGTAAAAATTGTATTTTTTTTAATAATAAAAATTTAAGATATATTAATATAAAAAGATGGTTATCTTTTATATAATAATTAAAAAAAGTATTAGACTTTAAAAATTTTTTTTATAAGTGATTCATTACTTTAGTAAGTCACTGTATATATATTATAAGTATAAACTATTAATACAAGAGAAATAACAGATATATTTTAATAAAATAATAAGAACTTGGATATAAAAACCAATTAATTAATAAAACAATAGCAAAATAGCAAATGTATTAATATACAAACCATATAAAAAAAATACAAAATATAATTTAAGATAAAATAATAATAATAATAGACTGGAAAAAAATATAGGCAAGCTTATTATTATTAAAAATTATAAGTTTCTATACTAGTTAATAAAATTATTTATTAGAATATTCTAATATAAACTGTTTAATAAAAAACAATCAATTAAAAATATATATAAAGATAAGATATATTTTTAATACAAAAAATAAAAGATTATAAAATATATTTTTAATAAATATTATAAAAATAAAATCAAAACTATGGTTTTGAAAATTCAATTTATATAGACTTGCATAGACTTATATAAGATTTGAAATACTAATACTATTAAAAATCATAATATATATAATTCATATATTAAATTTAATATAAATTTAAGAATCTGAATTAAATTATTAAAATTTTTAATTAAAACTATATATTTACAAGTTCTAAAAAAGGAAATATTTAATAGAATAGAAAAATAAAAAGAAATAACAAATTGAAAAAAACAGTTCAAGCATATTATTAATAACTTAGAAAAAATCTTTAGATATATAATAAAAGAAATTTATGAGAAGAACTTAATCAGTCTTATCAGATAAATTAATGAAATAAAAACAAGAATATATTAAAAACAGTTACAAGCTGAATAACAAAGGAATTTTAAAAACTTTGAAATTATAAGTATACAAGATTTCAACAATAGAAGAAAAATAAAAAAATAAGTAAGAGAAAAAACAAAAAAATACACAAAAGCTCAGAAAATTAGGACGTCTATCAATTTTTTATAGCAAAACATAATAAAACTTGAAGTTTCTGTGCCATACGAAAGCTACCATTTTTTCTAATAAATGATTTTCCTAAGTATTATATATAAAAATCATAAAAAATCATAAAATTACGTTTTAGTGACTAGGTCGAAAAGTTATTATAAAATTATAAACTTTTAAATGCACGAAAATTTCAATTTTTACTAATTTTCTGTCACCCGTCTGTACTGTACGGATAATTAAGTTTATTCAAATAGTAAAATTATCACATGTTCGAGCAATGAGACACAATTTGTTGTGCACACAACTATTCAAGAGAAAATTTCATCCTGACAGAAAAACTAGTGATCATGAGCTATCCAAATAACCCACCAATTTCATTTCCTCAGCCAACTATTCGGTCAAATACCTATGTTCCTTCTATTCAACGCAGGCCCTCTTCCTCGCCTTCGCTTCAAAAAGAAATTTCACCTCCCCTTCACCGAAGAGGAAGTACAGGAAATTCTCCAGTAAGTCACCAAAGGTTACCTTGGCAGTTGATCAAGTTACAAGGACCTTGGCTATGTTCTTATTGCATGATTTCGTGCGTTTTAAGAAAACAAAATAAAATCATTAATGCATTTTAATATTAAATAGATGAGTTCGATCGAAAACACGGTAACGCAATTATTATTTACTACGAAATCTTTGTTGGAGGCGTTGACCTCATGGTCTAATGGGCAAGTGAGTGGTCAGCAAGTTTCTGATGTCTACGTGAAGCTTGGCAGTGAATTGAATAAGGTCGTACGTTTATTTGGTCAAGCGGGGGTAGATATGAGGTAAGCAGATTATAAGGGAATAATGGTTTGATTTTTAGGGAAAAGAAATACTAATTATAAATTACAATAGTGATATGACAAATATTACTCAAGATTTAAGGGGGTGTCTTGAAAGAGCTTTGGGTGAAGTGCCTTCACCAGCTTCATTGGAACAACATCTTCCTAGTATCAGGGATATTATAGTAAAGTTATTGCAAGGTTTGAAAGCGAAACAAAGTGCATATCGTCAGTTAAATGATAATGATGCGCCGCAGTTGAATTCAACAAATCCTCAAATATCCATCGACGATAATAGTTCATCCGATCCTATGAATACATTGAAGTCTAGTAAAAATATAGAACGCCGAGCATCAAGACGACATTCGATTTACACGATGCAGAAGAGCTTAGGTTCAAAGTATGGTTCACGTTCGAATCGAGGAGGATTAATGCCGCCGAGAATTGTTGAAAAAGAGGAGGATGAAATAACAAACGGCGAAAATGACGAGGAAAAAAAAGAGGAACCGGTCATTCCACATGATATGTCACCTCCACCCGAATACGCACCGCCTAATGAAGAGTCTAGCACGGTTAATAATAATACAGTAACAAAGGATGAACAGGATAAAACTCTAACACTATACTTACAACTGGGAAAAGATGTCAAAAAGATAAAGTACGATGGAGATATAAGCATTTCAGCATTGAGAATACTGTTTATCGAGAAATTTCAGTATAATCCCGGAATGGATGATTTTCCAAATATTTATATTAGGGAACCACAACTTGGAATACTGTATGAGTTAGAAGACCTCAGAGAAGTCAAGAACAATTCTGTTTTGGCATTGAATGTAGAAGGTAGGAACATCTTTTGAACGATCTTATATTAGAATGACAGCTTTGCTAATGCCAAAATCCTTGTCTATTACTATTTATAGCTTTGGAACAAGTTAAGAAACATATTGACCAAAGTATCTCTGAATTAACGAGGGAGATACGTGATGTCAAAAAATCAATTATGGAAACGGAATTGAAAAGTCGAGTTAACGTTGTGTCCGCTGCTCCATCGCCAAGCGCAAGTCAATTCAGATCTTTAGCAAAAAAAGTCGTTGCAAATGTTAAGGAACAAAATGAAGTCAACGACAAAAAAACGAAAGAACAGAAAGATGAACTCGTGGCTAAAATTACCAACGACCTTCGGAATCAATTTAACGAAGTTCAAAATCTTCGAAGAGATTTGGGAGTAATCAGACAGGTTTATACTGAGTTCCAGGGGGAAACAAAAAAATTATTTGAATCGTTAGGTGCGCAGACGGCATCGGTAAAAAATGTTGCCTTAACGAATGTCAGTTCATCACGGACATTTATCGAGGAGGGTAAAACGAAATTGAATAACCGCACAAGTAGTCTGCTAACGAAGGTTAATGAGCTCCAAGACATTATAGACGAATTAAAGGTGGACGTTACCCAAAGAAGGGCAAAACCGAGGGAAACAACAGTTCAGCAGATAAGGAAAGACGCGGAGAATGTTGAACAAGAATTAGATTCATTGCAACAGTACGTCAAGACTGTTAAACCAACATGGAAAAAAACATGGGAGGAAGAATTGCAGTCGATTGTTGATGAACAAAAATTCTTGAACCATCAAGAAGAACTCATTGAGGATTTACAAGAAGATAATAAAAAGGTGACTGAGGTCCTCGAAAATATCCTTAAAGTTGTTGAGATTCAAGTATCTAGGCCGAAAGAATATTTTGTCAAGCCAAAGGAAGAAGGCTTCGAGGGGCTTAAAACCGTTCTCCAGGAAATCAAGGGTATTCCTCCTGATCATGAGAGGCGATTGAAAGCTCTAGAGCAATCTGAAAGGATGCGAGAGCGGGAACTAGCTAATCGCATTGATGAATTCGAAGCGGAGTTGTCGGATTTTGTGAGTAATAATAAGTTGAAAAAGACGGGTGGAGCTCAGGAAATCGAAAGATTACGCCAAAAGAAGAACGAGGATGCTTTAAAAGAACTATTTAAGGCAAATAAATCAAATCCAGAAGACGAAACGCCATAACTTCTAGATAAAATCTTCAATGCACATAGTTCGTAGGTTAAATTAATACTTATTTTTTATTGTACATTTAAATATATTTATGAAATAAGAAACAAATACAGCTTATTATATTGATCTTTCTATGAATACAAATGTCTTAATCATGAGTATTTTGCAAATAAACCAAAAATGTATTATTTATTCGTATGGGCACCTAAAATAAAGAATAATGTGAAATAATTTGTTCCAAACTGCTTAGAATGCGAGAAAAAAAAACAAGTACTAGTGAATCGAAAGTAATTATTACGGAAACTCTGCTGCATCATATACAGTATAATTACTATGTTTACTATTTGGTATCAAGTTTGCTTCCACCGACTTTCCTACTTTTTGAACTGCCATTCAATTTTGCACTTCCATTTTTATTTGAACTTCTTGCTTTTGAATTACTCACTTTATTAGCAACCAATTTCTCTTGCAATTTTAGGAACTCTTCATCGGTTGGTTCAGGAGCTAATTCGTCTATTTCTTCTTCTTCCGAGGACACAATGAAATCATCCTTGATATTCTGTTTTTTTCCTTTTTTCTTTTTTTCTTTGCTCGGATTTGGCTTTGATTTCTTAGATCTACCGGCACCGTATTTTGACTCCAAACTTTCCATTAACGCGCTCATTCTTTTCTCGGCTCTCGACTGTATAATTTGTTTTAAACCATCTTCTTCATTTCCATTACCTTTCAGTAGCTTTTGATCCAAGCCATATTTTCTAGCCATCTCTTCGGCCTCCTTGGCCTCACTTTCTGATTCCTTCTTGCGCTTCGCTCTAGCAACCGCACTAGTGGAAGTGGTAAACTTTTTATAAGAGGGTATTTCCCCTGATGAAATGGCAGCTTTGAGAATCTTCGTAAACCGTTTCTCATCATCCACCGTCCCGCACGGAATGTATTGCATAATGATTTCCATGTCACCTTCACACTTTTTGTAGGCTTCTATGAGATCGTTGCGTTCTTCTTCGGAATCTGTACGTGGTCAAAGTTATATACCTAAGTATTTATCTTTTTATATGAAAAGGCGTACCGAATCGATAAAAATAATTAACACAACTCACTTTGGTAACTTGCGCGAAACTCTTCTATTGACTCCGCGTTGACCACACCCGACCACAACTCTCTGAAAAAGGCATCCCAACCTTCTTTATCAAGGTTATCAAATCTGTCCAAGCCTTCTGTTTCACCCGTTTTATCATATATTTCCCTCTTTTTAGGATCACTAAGTATAGCGTAGGCGTAACCTAGAGACTGAAATTTTCGTGTGGCTTCTTCGCGTTCTTCAGGTTTTGCATTCGTGTGTTTATCAGGATGATACTGAAGTGCCAGACGATGGTATGCTTTTTTAATCTCAGCAGAGGTGGCTTCAGAGGTAAGAGATAAACGTGAATATAAATCTTCGTTTGCGGTAGAGGTAAAGTCATCAAGAGAGGTAGACATTTTTTTTTCTTTTGCCGTTGAACGCGAAAATGAAAAATTTACAATTTAAAAATAGATACATTCTCAACACGCGAGTTTGTTTCTCCGTATATTATGTAATGTTCAAACGTCGGTGTGACAGATAACCAACCGATTATCGACTAAATTCATGTGACATATATTTTGAAAAGTCGAAGTCGTGGGGCATTACACGGTTATAACGTGTAAATTCAAGTATGTCTATACCTCAACAATTTAATTCAGATAACCAGCCACCTACTGCACCGTTTACCTTCCAGGCGGATCGCGTTCAAACTTCAGATTTTGATGATATCACCTATTCAAACTTTTCGCTCTATAACAACGTGTTAAAATCTCGTGATTCCGAATCTTATTCGGCTATCTCTAGCAACGGAGAATCGTTTGTGGAATACCGTGATTCCCAAAACGATGCGCAACTTCATTATCTGGATCCTCCGTTTATGGACGGCGAGATAAACTGGTCTGGAACAAATCAAACCTTGAGCGCCAAATTTAACCCTTATTCAGTTGACACACTCGTTTGTCATATGACCAGAAAAGTTCCAACGGAAGAATGGAAAGGCGAAATTTTGCATCCCGACCAACAGGTTTACGAATTTTCTTTTTTTGACAGGAACAACAGTCGGGCAGTATTTTACAACGATTCGTATTTGAAAATTGTGAAAGCGGCAGAATGTGACAAGGAGCAAAAGATCCCGCGTATAGTGACGATAATAAACTTGTGCAAGGTTTATTGGGATTACGCTAGACTAATAGAAGCTCGTGTTGAGAAGCTAAAATCTCAAGGTAAAGAAACACTCGCCGAGTTGAAGACGTTTCAGTGGATTCTTATGATATGGGAGCTATGTGGAATTATTTATATCAATCCGAAAAAAGAATATTACGAAGAATTGTCACACTTGGGACAAAATTCCTACGGGAGGTTATCGAACGAATTGAAAAACTGGTCGAACAAATGGCTTCCCTTGCTTGTCCCTTTGGAGGATTATGATGCACAATTGGAAGAGAGCATATCTCCCCAAGAAGAAAAGGTATTTTGGCCCTACCTACGGAGATTGGTTCTCAGGGGTTCGTCAAAAGCAATAGATTTGTTAAATTTGGTTTCAGAAAAAGATATTGAAGATAAATTTCTGAAAGAATACATAGACAAAATCACACAAATCCTGTCATCACGACCTCATTTCAAGTCCCAGGATCTCGAGAAATTTTCTGTCTCTTTCAAAACTTGGCGTGATAAAATTAGAGCATGTGAAAAAGAACTTAACAATCAACAAGATGAACCTTCCTCTGAAAATATTATATCGATCTTGAAAATATTACGTGGAGACATTAATTCTATTATCGAGGAAAGCAACTCGTGGATAGAGGCACTTATGAGCATGGCGATTTCTCACCCACTATGGGACGTACAAAACTTGAGAGAAAAAACTCGTGATTGTCTTTTACATTTTCCCATGGACGAAAATACTAAAGCTTTAGATAAAGTTCTAGCTTCGTTATTAGTTAGGGACCCTGAACAAGGAATCAAACTTTGCGAGAAAATTGACGTGTGGTTGGTCGCTCATTTGTCCGATATGTTTAATAAGTTTGAACTGGTTGGAAAGATTAGGTTTCAAGGTTCTCAAATGCAACGTCGTGTGAATCCCTATAGTTCAGAGTCAGATATGGATATACGAGAATTATCTTTACTGAATTTTGCCGAATCATTAGTGTTTCATCACTCGCTCTGGCAGCTAGCTTTCAAATATTTTGAATTATGTGAAGCATATGGAAAGTTTTACATAGCAGAATGTATTATGAGGATTCCATTCGATAGCGAGTTTAAATTAAGCAAAATATTGAACATATGTCGATCCAATAGACTGGATTTTCAAGAAAAAACCATACTGAGGGTGGCTGGTAAAAGATATTTACAAGAAGAGAGATATGCCTCATCCATCAAATACTTTATGGATGCCGGTGATACTGCGTCATTAGAAGTCATTTTTCGTATATTTTTGGATTACTATACAAACACGGGCAACTTGGGTATATTCAAATACATGGAGAGCGTTCAGCTTGATGAATCATCGCCGGATTCCATGAAGTTTTTGTCGAAATATCGACTGTTTCACGAGTTGATGCAAGTAGGTGATTTTCAGACAGCAAGAGCGTACATTATGGAATTAATATGTTCCCAGATCGCGCCCACAACATTTTTACCAGTGCTATTGGTCAATACACTTCCATTATTTCATGAGGCAAAAAAAAGTGGCACGGTCATCTTGACAAATGCAGATAATTTTGAAATTCTACGAAACTTATATAATCTCGTGCACGGGATGTACCAAGAGGAATGTGCGTCATGTCTCGAACGAATGCGTGTTTGGCACACTTACGTTAACGGATATGCTGATATAAACGAGAAATTGTCGATTCTGTGGACGGCGGTCAACGATAATCAGTTGATTGTTTACAAATACGGTGAAGAATCTAATCCATTCTGGAACTAATTTGAATGATTATATTAATCATGTTAAACATCGAAACCAATTGTAAAGCAAAATTCTCTTTATAAATCACTCATCATTGCCATCGGAGAGGTAAATTAAAAGTAATAGAACGTGATCCTCAAGATCACGAAACGTTCTCCTTCGTGGAAATAACTTCTTGTAGGAGAAGACAAAGGAAGGAGTAAAGTTATAATCTTTCCCCTTTCTATAATTAAAAAGTTTCATGGGCGCGTGTTCCTAATCTTAAATATTCGTTGAAATGATATTCAAAATATTTTCTTAGGAAAGTATTAATGGTAGAATGTTTCTATTTATATAAAACAAAAACTGATGTTGGTAATAAACATTTAGATAGAAAATTGCTTATATAGATTAATTGATGGTTGCAATACATGTTAAATAAGTTTTTCGATATGCTGACATTAATCGTACTTTGGAACATTACAAAAAATTTAGATTCATTTGAAAGTTCATAGAAACCTGTATCATATTTTCTCATTCATAATAAGGATCAACTGTTTCTTAACACAAGCCGGTCATTAGCAACGCAAAATATAGTGAACTTTCAACACATTATTTAAATACATCATATATATGGTATTTTGCTCAATTAATTAATTTACTCATTAACGTTAAACTAATTATAATAAAAAATTACCAATAGCTGATAATATTATGAAAAAATTAATTTATGAACTACCATTAACAAGTTAAGATTTTTCTGAATTATTTTTGTTTTAATGGCCATCAAATAAATCAGTATTTATCATGTATAAATAAGTAAATTCATACACATATTAATTCCTTTGTCATAATCAAAGGAATAATTTTTAAATGAATTTCAAATTAATGTTTTATGTGCTGTACATAAATAGGCTATTTAAATTGTTTAATTAATTTATAGTATATCAAAAATCAATAATATATTAATCATGATTTAATTTATTTATTTACAATACACAGTATAATATCAATTAATATTTATTTAAATTATATTAAATTTTTTAAAAAAAATTTTTTATTACTATTTTTTTGTTTTTTTTTTTTTTTTTAGGTAGGTAAATATTGTCGCTTTATTAATTGTAAAAAATTCAGATTTTCTATATAACAAAAGCAACATCTCTTATATAACAATTGAGATAATAAGTTTAATGCTAGCTTGCCTACATTAACCTACTATGTGATAAAGGAAAATAAATATTAAAATCACTACACTTCATAGAAGATGTTGAGCAGCTATGAATACCTACTCAGAATTATTAGTAATAAGTTGGTTAAGATTAGAAATTAAATTTTTTAAATATGATGATGAATTGAAATTGCTATTTATAAATTCATCTGTGACAATAGATGGAAGATCTATGATTGTATCTTTTGATTTTGAATTAGAATTTGAGGATATTACTATTTTTTTTTTATTTTTTATATTCTTTTTTTATTTAACAATTTTATCATACTTTTATTAAGTGATTCTTGTTACATTGAATTTTTTATATTGAATATTATATTTATGAAGTATATTTGTTTCAATTAAACCAAGATACTTATATTTTTTTGATTTAATGATTTTTGTTATTTGGTATTACACAAGTTTATAAGGTTTACAATTTAAAAGTTTACAATTGATTTATATGTCTTTGATATTTCTTAATATTTTTAAAAAATATTATTATATAAACATATTGATAATCTGTTGTATTCCTATAATATTTTTTAAAAAATTTTGAATTTTTATATAATAATTTGTATTAATAATTTGCATTTGTTATGATCTAATATATTATATATTTGTTATTATTTAATATATTGTATATTTGTTTAAATTAAATAATCTATTTTATATTTTTCAATAAACAAATTTTATTATATTTTAATATAAAATTTGATTTTTAAAAAAAAAATATAATATTGTATATTCTATAAATAAAAAATTAAAATCATAATTATTGATTTTGTAAAAAGATTTTTTAACAAAATATTGTATATGCTATTTTTTTTAATAAAAAAAATATTTTTATATTACATATTTATATTTTTAATTGCATTTTAACATCCATTAATTATTTAAATGAAAATTTTAAATTTGTTAAATAGTATCTTAAAAAAATTTAATCACCTTAAATTATTGATTAATTCTACCTGTCAATCATTTTGTAATTTTTTTACTCAGTACAAATCATCTTATTGTTTTACTTTGTCAACAAAAATCAATTTGCAATTCCTTATGAATAATAAATTTATTAATCATTACACGTGACGTTTCAATATTGATGACCAAATTATAAACGGTGATTTCTTTTCTTGTTATCCAAGTAAAACCTTTTCAATTTGGGTCCATATATATCATTCAAGAAACTAAAGGTTATTTATTATTCCAGAAAGATTAGGTCATTTATCGTGAGATTGAGTGGGCCCCTCCAGTGGTTGGTTGTTGTGCTTCTCGTCTCGCAGCATCTTGTAACAGAGCTGTATCCACAGCGCTGGCCGGTAGTTGAACATAACGAACTACTGATCCGCGTATAAAGCAATTCTTGACGGCCATCTAGAATGATTTATTTACAATTAAACGAAAAATTTTCAAACGCGTATCAAATTCAAAACGTAAAAAATATTTATATTACCATATGAGGATACTTTGCATCATCTACAACTCGGATATCATCAAGTTTAATGTTTAGGAATTGGTCAACGGAAGTGAGCACACCGGTTATGGCAAGATCATTTTTTAATTCTACAGTCACTTGATGACCAATTAGAGTCTTGAAAAATGAATAAAAGAGCTAAAAAAAGAAGGAAAGAGAGGCGAATTATAATTATTAAAGCATTAGAATATAAATATTTAATTAAATCTAGTCAATAACATGTTCGACATGAACCAAAAGATATTCTAATGCAATAAAATTGTTTTATTAATCCATTTTCCGAACTGTGTCGCGCCTTTAGCGTTACAACTCAGTAAAAAATTATCTGCGAAAATAATTTACGCGTGAACAATTCTATAAACGGGATCGGTTGTAAAATATTCATAGAAATTAAGTAACACGTACCATTACAGGATGTGTTCTAAATTTGAAATTCTTGAAAATACGGGGAAAAAGGTAAAGGTCGAGTTTTTGCGGAATCATTTGTGTTCTAGTTTATTTATACGTCACGTGCATCGTACAACTATTGTACACGTGGCACAATATTTTCGTAATTCACTTTTTGATAACTTCGAGGAAGCTACACATTTACACAATTCAAATTGTAGGGATTATGGCCACTTCAACATCTGTCCAATTCACAGTCGGGAAACTCGATGCGGGAATGGTAAATGGCCTATTTTAAGCCCTATTCACTAACCATAGAAAAGCTAAAAAATCTCACTTGAAAATAATAGGCAATCTTATTAACCGAGGATCACCACCTCATTGAATTTCCTTCGCTTCTACTTCCACCCGGTGTCACTTCTGGCAGCATAGTGAACATTAGCGTAAATCGCAATTACAATCAAGAAGCCCTACAACGCAAAGAATTTTGGGAACTTCAGGAAGCTATCCTTGCTGAATTTGGTCGCAACTCTCCTGAGCCCCCTAAACTCCACGTCAAACATGTAACCCAAACTTCCGTTATTATTGAATGGGAATCTCTATGTCTCTACCAAGCAAATTTGAAATTTCTTGATATTTATCGTAATGGTGCTAGATTGAGTCAGCATGTTCCACCTGGGATTAATTACGTTAAATTAAGTGGTTTGGAACTGGATACTGAATATGAATTTCATATTAGCATCAAAACCACGGCTGGTGTTTTTGTTTCGAACAAGGTTAAAGTTAGAACGCATACTTTAGAAAATTTGACTGGTATTAATGTTTGCTTTGGATTATTTTATGAACCCCAAGATGGTTCTGATGGAGGTTTAACCAAACAAGAATTGAAAGAGATTCTAAAGAGAATTGGTGCGAGATATAGCGAGCAGGTTGGACCTGACACGACTCATCTTCTGTGCAATGCTCAAGGAAGTTCAGAATACCAAAAAGCCTTAGATGGTAGCATACCCATTGTCAAACCAGAATGGTTGGTCGCCTGTGAGAAGGAGGGTAAAATGCAACCAGCTTTACCTTATTACCTCGTGCCAAACTCGGAAGAAAAATAACTCTGATAGTAACATTATCTATATTTAATTTTTGTAATAACTTTGACAACAAAAGTAGTAGAAGGTACAATTATTTTTTTCTTTTCTTTTCATTAATAAGTAGAAAACAATCGACGTTTAATTATAAGATAATGATGGTAATAAATTTTGTATACATTAATGAACAATGAAATTTTGCTATACAAGAGTAATATGTCATTAGCTCGTTCCTATATATGACTGCAAAGTTAAATATACGAGAGTTCATTCCTCTTATACATCTACCTACAACTGTCAACATATGAATGCATATTAATAGGTATTAATGATAGAACAAAATAATTACATCATCAATAATGACAGAAATATCTCCTATGAATTACTTGATTCATTATATTATTTGAAACTTAATCACTTCACCAACGGACGCACATGTCCTGTATCATCTTTACACAAACGCTCATTGTACTTTTGCATCTCCTTTAGGTATGCATTGGCCTTTGGATCCAACGTTTCGCCACGTTCTACATCCTCTAAGGTGACGCGTTTAGGATCTGGTTCTTCGTCCGTAGGTTGACTCTTGCGCTTTCCACGATTTTTCTTTAAAATGAAAAAAAGTTGATCAGAAGATCTATGATAATGGCGTCATTAAATATAATTATATACTGTACATATGTATGTACTTACAATCCGATCTTCAAAAGCTTTTTTCCTGATGTTCCAGAATGTCAACAGAAAAAAATACCCACAGAAGAAGGGACGAATCAAATGAATGTTCATCCAATGGTATATATGTGTGTTATTATTAGTTTTTTTTTGTTTTGTTTTTGTTTTCGGTTTTTTGTTTTTTGAAATTATTTATTTTTAAAAATTTTTTGTTTAATTGTAAAATATTGCGTAAGTAAAGAACTTTTCGTTTTTTTTTTTCTCTAAAAATTTAAGTAAAGGAAAATGTTTATCTATTTACGTCCTAAAGAATCAATTAAAAAATTTCCGATATTTTTATCACGATAAATGCTAAATTGTTGAATCGATAATTTCTCGAGAAATCCATCACCCTTTGAATTTCAAGAAAAAATTTTCAACGCATACACCGTTCTATAACAAAGGTAGTATCAGTCACAAAAAAAAAATCGGAATGTCATTGAGGCACAAGACCTGTTGGTTTGTTGGCCTCTTATCCATTTCCGATTTACATATCACATCCAATGGTTAAATTTGCCTAAGATCCCTGATTTTCCTCACCTTTCTAAGGCATCAAGCTGCTTCTTTTTCTCATCTTCTTCAGCCTTCATTTTCTTAAACCGATCCAAAAAGCTTCCGTCATTCGAAAAAATGTTTATTGCTGGTGTGGAACTGGGTACATTTTTTGAAGGTTTTCCATTTGTAGACCCACTGCTGCTCGCCGGTGTTGTCGCTCCCGAAGCAATAGGGGCTTCTGTGTCTCTTTTGGTACTAGATGCATCCGAATGGGCTGGAGATGGAGGTTGGGCCGTTGTAGACTCTGGAGCTACAGAAGTATTAGAAGTATTACTTTCTTCCATGGTCTTTAAAGTGCTTAAAGGTTTTGAAATTTCCGTCAGAACAAAGAGAATGGGTGGCGTAATATTTGAGTTGGTAAATGATGTATCATTTATGAATGAACAAATGTACACTATGATCATTGGTTGAAAATATGATTGGAGGATAAATAAAGGTTCTTTGTATAGGATTTTTTGAATTTTTATTTTTTAACTTATAGAATTACTAATTTATATCGCATATATGATATAAACTATTTATTTATATTTTTCATAATAAAACACTAGTATCAAAATATGTCTATATACATTACTACATGTTGCAAAAGTATTACATAAAATCAAAATTGTTTAAATTATTATTATTATTATTATTATTATTATTAAAGTTATAACAAATATTAAGATATAAAACTTTTATTAAAAAATGGAGCCATTACATTAAATATCTTTCACTTTATAGTGAAATTAATGCTATTTAACTAATTATTTTTAGCTAGAGATTTACTTATATATAATTTTGACATATTCAATAATATATAACTTTATTAATTAAATCTATTGTTTTTTACTATCCCTTAAATTGTAAGGCATTTTTTTTTATAACGTTTAAAAATTTTTAACTAAAAAGTTGCTTTTCATTTATTTTTTTAAAGAATCAAAATATTTTTCTAAAAATTTATATAATATTGG